TCTGAACTTTTTCGAATGTACATATATGTATCAATCATTATCAGCACTGCAGAATCGGAAGTTCCAGATGTAAAAAAAAAAAAACAAAGAGTTAGCTAGAGGGGTTGTATGTTGTGCAAAGGTATCATGATCAATGTATTGATATCCAAGGTTTTTTGGAACATAATCATAAATCAAAGCATTTTTGGTAGCATGGATAGACCTTTGTATTTGTGATTTCTTTAGAGAGACAATACGGCCATAAGATTATCTGATAAACCTTTACGAAGTTTTTCAAGCAAGACAGGTTCGTTTAGATCGGACGGAAGTATTTCTGAGGGAAGTCAGAGATGACAGGAGTTCAAAAAATCATTCCTAGACAGTCCTGTAAAGTAGTAATAATTTCATCTGACAATGACAACGAATTTTCAAGCCAAGTTTACTGAAAACTTTGGATCCATTTAAGTCTCATAATAATATGAGCTCCTCTATGGTATTTGGTTTATGATTTTCTGCCATACTTTATTACTTCCGTTATTTATCATAGACATTAGAACAATTATGAACAATACCATAATTCCAGATAACGACTACATAGATCATTACACGAACCCACGGCGTTCTTTACTTTGCGACTCTAGAGTAGATGCTCTTACCACTGCACAATGCGGGCGACTAAGTGGAAAGAGAAAGACTTGAGATCGAAAGAAAGCGGTTAGCGATAGAACAACAGCGATTTGCTATAGAACAACAGCGGCAGCTGGTGTATCTTGCTCGAAGAGAAGTTTGTTTTGATCAATCTACATGCAATACTTCAAATGAAGAAGCCTTTAAAATGCATAATGTAGGCTAGCTACTTAAAAATATTTAACAGATAACAAAAATCCATTGACTACTGATGCAATATTTTTTTGGTTCACATACAGGTGTTCATCGACAGTTGGCGACTTTATTCCTATGCGAGTACAATCTATTGCACCCACCGTGTTGGGAAATTGTGCAACGTCATGAAAATCTGGATTTTTATTTATTTTATCAGTCGACCGCGTGGCGTAGTGGTTAGAATGTCTGCTCTAAAGTCGCTGCGTAATTAAGGAGTTGATCCTTATGTTGCGGGATCGAATCCTCCGGGACGTGAAGATCGTTCTTTCGGATGAGACCCGTGTCGCAGTAGGTGCTGGCACGAAAATGATCCCTTCTGCTCAATGGTATTGAGTGCCTTTTACAGGACAAAATTTACAGCTCTCCACCGGCAAGTGTAGGTGTCTCCATAAGAGTGAAAAATTCTCGAGAGGGACGTTAAACAATACAATCAAGTTCATCTTGATTTGTAAGTATAATAATGTACTGTTTAGCCACATTATTCAGATATTCCGTTACATGGTGTAAGATACGTAACTGACATCTCCATTAACAGATCGAAAACTTTCTTTAGCATAATACCTTAGTGCTACCATGATCTGCAGTGAAATAGGGAAAGTAATGACATCATTGAGGGTCGTCAAGATTAAGTTGGAATATTTGACAAAGACTGACAATCAAAGGCTTTAAAAGTATATACTTAAGTACTATACGCTAATTTGACTCGTATTTAAAAGGGTTACCCCTGTGCTTAAATTCCTTATCTCCTCTCCGAAGCTGTCTCTATCTGTTCGCACACAGAACACACAGCATATTTGTTTACAACTACAAAGATATCTTACTCTCTTAGGGTATGTCTTAGGACAGGCTTGCGGTTGTATTAAAGTTAGGACAAAGATTAGGAAGTCTCCTAAGAAAAGGATAGCTTCGTTGACCCCCCTTAAGATTAAGATATATCCAAGTTCATCCTAAGATATATCTTAATCCTAAGATAGCTTCATAAGCATGTCTGCATGCTGGGGCATAGTAAAATTTTTCTATTTAAATATCGTCATTCCCTGTTATCACATGACAATGTATCTATTGAATCATTACTGAAATACTAATTTTTTAAGAAAAAAAAACTTTCTATTTGTGCTCGAAAAGCTTCATTTACATGTACTGTTCAGGGTTATGAAATGAATGGTAAAAATAGAATTTAAAGTTTATTCACAATAGAAACAATAATAATTTGCATTCTTAAAATCTGATTTGAACCGTCTGTCTGCATAGCTAAATTTGATCATTACAAGGACATTGACAATTTTACTGATTGACCTAGAAATTCTCCTTGCTATACAGTCAATATTAATTACAACAAGGTAGTTAGACTTTGGTACAGATTAGCTAAAGAGACAAAATGATGATGTAGAGATAATTGCTGAAACAGGTATCTTAAAAATATGTATTGACGATAAATAAACGCTGATGTCTTCTAAAATCTTTTTTATGGCATATGCACGTATTTTTTTCTTTAATTTACGAATCCATTCAATCACCGGATTTTTCTTCTCATCTGTTTTTCCCCCGAACAAATCTTCTCCAGTAGTGTTAATTGCACATCCTGACTCTCGAAACCAGTCGGATTATCTTAAAGCTTGCACTTTGAATATGTGAACTGAATTTGAGACAACCTTGCGTGATCGGATCTAGATGACATTCATCGGCTTTATCTGATCATTGGTCACAAATGACTTCGTGATTTATCTGTCTGAGACTTGATAAAGCCTCAAGATCACTTCATCCCATCAAATTAATACCGTTCATCAGCATTTCTTGTACTTAGGCATGTTAGGTTTTGCGTATTTGTTCTACAATTTATCTTTTCTTCAGACACCGCTTCTGTATACCAATTACGTCTCAGGTTTACAGCTTCGTGTCATTTATCCATTGCCCAGACAACGCCACTTTGTACTTTGTCAAGTTTGATTTTTTAAATTGCTTTTTCCACGTTCGCTTCGTTTGATTTTCAAACTTAACATTTAACTGATTGATTTAGTGATACAAATATATCAGTCTCAATTCTTCAGAAACAAATATTGAAAAAACAAGCTAATTCAGAGAATTCGTGTCCCCCGCTTAGGGAAAAAGTCGGCTCCCCCTGACTGAATTTGTAGAATTATTAAAAGTATACATGTATACTGAAGGAAATAAAATACATGTATGTCAATATGCATATAAAGATTTGATTGCTTATTCTTTATTATGTGTATAGAAGATTTTTTTATATGGAATATTTATCACACTGTAATGATGATTTTATAACCTCATAAATTTTTCATTTCACATGCTGAATACTATCATTTAGTAAAAAAAAAAATATTTAAAAAAAAAAAAAAAGAAAAAAAAAGAAGATAGGTTCGGCCGAGATTCGATCCCGGGTCCTCTCACATTCGAAGCGAGAGACATAACCACTAGACCGCGGAGTCGCTTTACACGGAGGGAAGTATATGCAGAACTGAAGTCACATACATGTATATATTCATGTTTTCATGTTCCGTATTCTCAAAATTTTACACAATCCATGGTGTTTGATTTATTTAGCCTTTATTAAACACTGCTACTAGATGTAATAAGAACATAAAGTCCGCCGAGAACCTGTTTTATACGCAATAACTCTCCTCATGCCCCTGCGCTAAAAATAGCGACATGTAATACTGTAAATACTAATAAAACAAACGGGGCGGGGCACTTTGAGAGGGACGAGAGACGTCCTATTGAGTTTTGGCATAAAATTACATCGCATAAGCTCAAAATCTTCTTGAAATATCGCCCGGAAATGATAGTGTTACACACAGACAGAATGTATAAATTTACGACCTTGAACTTTGACCTTTTGACCTCAAAATCAATAGGGGTCTTCTTTAGGCCACAGGGAGTTGTTATGTAAAATTTCATTGCAATAGCTCAAATGGTTCTAGAGATATCGTGTGGAAACGAAAGTGTTTTAACAGACAGAATTTGCTTATATATGACCTTGACCTTTGACCTTTTGACCTCAAAATCAATAGGGGTCTTCTTTAGTCCATAGGGAGTTGCTATGCTAAATTTCATTGCAAAAGCTCAAAGGGTTCTCGAGATATCGTGTGGAAACGAAAGCGTTACAGACAGACAGAAAGACGGACGGACGGACAAACCCAAATTAATATCCCCCACTTTTCAAGCGGGGGACAAAAATGCCCATTCACCTTTTGCAAGTAGTTTCTTTAAAGTTATCTACTTATTCGTTAAAATTATATTGATTCTGCTCATATAAATTGATTTAATGTCCATCCGCTTCATACTTTGTGCATTAAACTTCTTTACAAATGGATCTTCGATTGTTCTTTGTCTTGTTTAATTTACATTTTTTAGATTTTTTGTTCTTCGAACTTGAAAGACGTAATTAAATGTGTGCAGAATACAGTTCTAAATGAATTTATTCCTGTAAATTACCAGATGACATTAATGATTTCACGTGTTTTTGTCAAAGATAAAACTGAGCTTGATGAAAACTTAATTTCTTCACAAGCCTCTTAGTTCATAGAAGTGTTTAAAAAGAACAAGATCACAAGTCGGTCGGGGATGGAAGAAAGGAGAGATGAGGGCGAGGCTTGGATAGAACACGGGAACCAACCAGTCTACAGCAGTGGTCAATCTCCCGCGTGGCACAGCTCTAAGAACGTTTCCTCATGAGTCGCATAGAACGGAGCTGATCCTGACGTTGCAGGACATGGAGACAGGTCCTTCGGATGAGACGGTATAACATGAGATCCCGTGCTGCAGTAGTTGCTGGTACTATAAAGAAATGGCCTTGAGCGATGGTAATACACTGTAGGTCTTAATTTGCAGGCCTCCAGCGGCAAATAGTGACCTGGAGCGAGGAAAAATTCTGATGATGTAGGCATTTTACACCAGTGAAATGTATTGGTCGATGATACATTTTTCTACATTATTTTTATAATTTTATCTAACTTGTATTGATAATCATATTTACACAAAAAACTAGGCTCATATACGATGATGAACAGTTGCTATCATTTGCAGGAGAAATAAAGAACCCCCTTACACTGCAATCTTTAATACCGTTTAAACACAAATCTTTATCCTATTGCTCATAAAACATATTTATAAACGTTGTCGTCAGGGTTATCATTAATAATAATAATTTAGCTTTTAACATAATATCGTTACATTAACCCTCTAATGTTCAATTAAATTTACTGATTATTGCCGATCACCCACTCATTTTCAATAGTAATATTACTTTCCTTTGAGCATTTTTCGTAACTCTCTTCGAAAAGTAGATCCAGCAAGGCAATAAAGGATGAAACTTAGGGAATGTTCTGTATAGTCACAAATATTAACTATTGCCCACGTGAGATACATATTGGCCGTGATTTCCTCATTAGCCACGTGATAAGGCTCCACTATTAAAAAGATCATAATCGGCAGGGTTAATACCATAAACGTAAAGTTTAAGGCCAACAGCATGCTTGTCACGCTGGAGAGCTTTTTGGTGCTGTTAGTATTTTTGGAGTCGTTGCTCTGGTGGTATGCAAGACGCTTGTGGGATAAATAAATGCAGCGAATGATGAAGGAATTGGCAATAACCATGATTGCAAAAGGCACAATAAAGCCAAGGGTCAGTGATAACCAAGGAAATATGAATTCGTTAAAATCATTTCCATGAGTGCACTCCTTTTTGGAACTTCCATGGGCCTTTTGTACTGTAACTCCCCAGAATAAATGCATGTTTGCAAGAGAAAGAAAAACAAATAAGCCCGCAACAACTCCTTTCGAGTATTTCAAGTGACAGATCTGTTTTGCTATGTGAGGAAGACACACTATTATACAACGATCAACTGTAACTGCCACAAGGATCCATACTGTTAGATTTAGTAACAAGTTCAAAGAAAAGGTAGACAATCGACACAAACTGTCTGACTGGTCATAAATGTTAACGTTAAAAGCCACCATCAGCCAGGTCTTACCAAGGCCTAAGTACAGCGTCAGGAGATTCAGGACTGATAGTACAGTTAAGTATAATATGGTGGTCTGCTTTCTTAATTTTTTCCGAAGAAGAACAGCTATCGTAAGGATGTTGGTAACAGTTCCAAGCACCAGTATTATCGGGGCTGAATAAATCCATATTTGTTGAGAAGTCTTATAGATAGGATCTTTCTCTATTTCGTATTTGGAATGAAGCGTTTGGTTCACCATGACCTGTTCATCCGTTATATTCCGGATTGGTGAATACAACCTTCTGATAAACTTCATCGCTGAAAAGAAATCTTTCTGTAAAGCGATTTGTCAATATTCTCTGCTTTTAATACAGCCATTAGTCTTTCCTGGCTCATTTTCCTTAATCACAATTATCACTTATGTATTAAGTCTAACATCGTTAAATAAAGGAAACTTAACTTATAACCGAAAAGAGGATAATTGGTCAATTTACTCAAACAGTGATAATGATTTTTATTAAGACATCATATGGGAACGGCAATTTTTTAGATTTAATTAACAGGTACAATTTAAATGAACTTGTTTTCGAAGTTTAAAAAAAATTGCAAAGTACGTCAAAAATGCTTTGCATATTTTTCTATCCATTTCGATTACAAGTTCTTCGTTGAAATTGTTTATGGTCAGAAAGGGCTTTTCTTGAACCTTTAGCTTAATGAGATATTTTTTATTGAGATTCAAATGAAGCCATAAATGAATAGAAAACAGGCTCATATTCTTAGTTTTGATTTAAGTAAAAAATATAAGATGTAAAAGACAAACTGTAGTTAACATGATTTACTACAATATATGCTAAAAATATTACAATCTTTACAAAATCTTATTACTGTTCTGTAACTTTTTCAAACTTAATATTTAATACCTTGTTAACGGAATGTCAACAAAGAAAAGAAACGAAAAAAAAAAGAAAACGGCCTTACCAGCGTTGTTCATCATGGAGTGCATATTCAACCTGGAGTCGTCATGCTTTCCCGATTGAAGAGTATCGCGAAGCTACAATCAATATATATTCCAGGCATCCTCCTTATTATTCAAAGGCAGCGATAGCACAAATGGTGACCGTTTCACCGGTGAAGAAAATGGAGCAGATATTTTTTTTTTCTAAATCAATGTATCATTCATATTATTTCAAATTTCCTTAAGAAACTTTTTTCATAATATTATGTATTTACTTTGTCCTGACTGTTAGTGTTCAAATAATGAAACATATGGAGATAACGAACAATATTCGAGATAGAAGTCCACAAAACAATACAAAATAGGATCAGAGCAAACACGGACCTCCAAAACAACAACCTGATGTGAGATCAGGTGCGATGGAGGAGTGAGCTTCCCCTGCCGACCGGTCACACCCGCCGTGTGCTCCTTCTCATGATCGGGAAATAACGGAAAAACCCGTCGTCAATTCAGTGTATAAATAATGGACTAAAAATTATTATGAAAACGACAGTCAGCATTTGACTCAATGATAAATTGTATTTGCTGACAAGAACATTGTATCGACGATAGAACTTACCAAATGGTGACTTGTTGATGACAGCTGAAATTCTTGTTTCATCAACTTGTTTGTCAATAATTTACCTAGTTGTAGAAATTGTTCATACATGTACGTAGAGCATGCTCTTGCATATCTAATCAACTGAGAAACTCCGTATGCAGGTGCTCAACGTATATTGCTGCATAAGTAAACATTTTCTTTTTTAAAATCTGTTTTCATTTACACATAATTTATAACTGTAGTTAAAACTGTAGCTAAATGCACAAATGGATAGAAAGACAGAAAAAAATATTTAAAGTTTTATCTGTTTGATAAAGAAATATTACAAAAGAAAATTATATCATTAAATCTCAGAGAAGCACATTAATGCTTTTCACAACCCCTCACTCAATGTTTGCAATGAACTCAACATTAGCAGAGTAATTATTTGACAAGCTGCTGAAATACGGGTTATTGCTCTCCTTACATTAACTCCCAAAGCCCATCACTAATGGATTTACCATATCATCGTTTTGTGTTACTGATTTAAAAACATCCGCAATCATGTGTTTGTTTTCTTTTAGTTTAATTTCGGGTATAACATTTGTTGAAGAAAGTTGTAATTAAAACAAATCTGATTTATGGCCAGATTTGTCCCATGTTAAAGTCTTATCTAGTACGTCGTTAATATTTGACAGAGCCTCTATTTTCAATAATGTTCATTGTTCCCGAGGCCGAGCATATCGTTCATCAAACATTTCCTAACAGAGCAAATGACAATCGCGACAATAGACATCACGAATCAATCATTGATATATCATCCAAATAAGGTTTGACCCGAGTCTTAAATGTTACCTCTTAAATTAATTGTGCTACAGAAACAGATTTCATGAAATTCCGATACTGAGTTCATTGAAAATAGGACTTCTGCACACGATCGATTGGTTGAATACTGTTTAACGCCGACAATTTTATTGAAATAGTTTTCTTTTTACGTGAAGACATGAACTTTATCGTCCCCTGCTTTCGCGAAAGCGAGGGGATATTTAATCCCATCCGTCTGACAGTCTGTCCCTCAGTCGCAAAAACTTTAAAATTCGTCATAACTTTTGAATGAGCAGAGAGAGGGTTTTCATATTCCAAAGGTACATTTTCTGTGACAAGACCTATCCAAATATGCTATGATTTTTAACCCGTGTCTTGGACCTTGAAGTTTGAACTACTTGTGATTACGTTTGAATGAGAAAAGATGTGACTTTCTGACTTATGTATATAACTTGCGACAAGGCTTTTAAAAAAATTTTAAAAAATTACCCTTGACCTTGAAGTTTGACCTACTTGTCACAATAATTATATTTTCTCTTTATTCAAAAACTTCGGCACGTAAAGTTAGAGTCTTGCATTGATATGGTCTGTCAATTTAACACTAGGATATATCCATAAGGTTTAATCAATATTCGTTTTCATTTCTGTGTTGTTTCGATGTATTCATATAAACCATAAATAAAAGACATAACCGAGTTTTTAACGTATGTTTTTATTGGCACATTTTACTAACGTAGAAAAAGAATAAAACTTGATGATACAGCTGATGGTTTAACTGTTCTACTTTACACTATCCTCCAAAAACATATCCACCTATCAAAATGGGCTGGTTCCCAATTTTCTTTATCAGCCATTCACTTATTTCGAGACAAGTACTAGAACATTATAAGAAGTACCAAAAAAAAATGACAAAGAAATATTAATTTTATTTTGACATATGTACAAAAATCAAGTTATCTGCAAAATCAATTTTCAATGAGGCAATCCTATTTAGAATGTCAATATTTTGTATACTAAGCATCTATTGCCCGACAACTGCCCGTTTTCTGTCTAGCATACTAGAAATCAGATGTTGACACCTGGCCCCGGGATCATGAAACTGTCTTAAATTTAAGTCAGAATTTTGTCTTAATTTAAAGATTTAGACTTAGCTAATATCGCGAACTTAAGTGGATCACAAAACGATCTTAGTAAAAACTTCAAGTCAAGATTTGTCCTAGTTAAAAAAAAAACAAAACTTTATTGTCATAGTAACTCACGCGGCGCTTGGATCGTA